GTTGATTTAAAGAAAATAATCTTGAAATACACCAAGAGAACTAAAATTTTATGGGTGAAATGGTGCCATGGGGTGACTTCTCTTCCACCCCAATGCCTTCTCTTCTTCCTTCTCCTCCACCCCCATTCTAATTCCCATCATCATCATCATCATCCAGGAGCCTTCTACATACACACCTCAAAGTAAGTGAACTTTTCTACCATTTTTGTTGAATTTAGGCAATTTTCGGTGAGCTGGAACCAATTACCCAAAAACCCATTGAAACAATGGTTTCGGTTAACGAACAACCTGCTGGAACGGATTGTGTTCGTTAACCGAGGGACCACTGTATTTCCACAATCAGGTGCTTCTCAAGGCGGAAAAATTACTTGTGAGCTACTTGGTGCGTCAGGCGCGACGGAACATGGCGGTGGACACGCGCTCAGTTAAGGAGTACGCATGTGAACTGTATGCTGCAGTGTCACGAAAGATGGGAATTACAGAGCCCAAACCCTTTAATGCTTCCTCTGGGTAGTTACAGAGGTTTAAGAAGAGGAACAAGATCACCAATATCAACATTGGTGGTGAAGAAGCTAGTGCTGACCGTGTTGCGGCGAGGGAATTTCCTCCGTTTTTACGTGAGATTATGGAGGAAGGACAGTACACCGACGACCAGGTGTTTAACATGGACAAATCTGGTCTTTTTTGGAAAAAGCTACCTTCCAAGAGCTTCGTTGTGAAGAATGCCAGCAAGTTTCGGTTGCCGGAAGTTGCAGAAGGAGCGCATCACCGTCCTGTTACCACCAATGCCTCCGGTACAGTACCTGTAAGCTCAAGTTATCGGTGATCCACACAGCACGCAAGCCGCACGCCTACAAGAGCATGGACATGCCCAAGCTAAATGTCCACTGGCTGACCGCACGTAAGGCGTGGATGTTCTCTACACTGTCCCTCTCCTGGTTTGATGACCGTTTCGTTCCCGATGTGAAGAAATTCTGTGAGCAACAGAATGTGTCATTCAAGATTTTGTTGTTGCTTGACAACGCACCAGGACACTCGCCCCTACTGTTAGATCGTCACCCCAATGTAAAAGTGGTCTTCCTTCCTCCCAACACTACGTCTATAATACAGCCCATGGACCAAGAATTGATATGTAATGTAAAAGCTGCATTCTCTGCTAAAAAATTCAACCTCCCGAACGACTACACCAACACCAAGGAAGAGTTGCGTAACCTGAGTGACACCAACACCGATAGCAAGAGCGAAGACGATGAGGATCAACAGTTGGCAGAGCAAGAAGTACTTTTGAAATAATTCTGGAGAACATTCAACGTCAAGAAAGCTGTGGACTTCTTGATGGAGGCATGGGATTAGCTGTCTGTAGCAACTGTTCGTCACGCATGGAGACATGTGTTGCAAGGCATTCTGGGTGTTAGGTAGAGTAAATCTGTGACTGGTGAGGTTCAGACTGTTGCAGTAGTGGTGGACCTTGCCAGAGAAGCTGCGCAGAGTGTTACAGCTGCAGGCTTGTCCGAGACCACCAACGACGACATCCTGGAGGTGATAAGGGATCCTGATGTTACTACCGACGACATGGTAGTTGATGATGACGTCAGTGAAGGGGCAGGTGGTGCGTCATCCCAAGAAGAACGCCGCTTATCCCATAGTAATGTTAGGGGTGCCATCGAGTGTATCGAGAAAGCCAAGCTCCTCCTTTCCGACGACCCTGACGCAAACAGGTATGAAATCTTCACTACCCAGCTGTTGCAGACTATGGAGCCCTACATCAAGGTTTATCACGACAACATAAACACCAGCCGTCAGCAAAGCATAACAGAGTTCTTCGCCCGCAACCCACCACAGCCAGCCCAAGCCAGTGATAATGACAGAGGTAGAGACAGTGATGATGACTTTGAGGGATTTGTCAGGGAGGCACTAGTAAGTGTGGATGACACCAATGAAGACTCACCTGAGGGCCAGTAGCCTGCCCTCTGCCTCGGAACCAGCCTCCATTCCCCTACGCCGACCCATCTCTTCTACTAACGTAAGTGTTAACCCCAGCCTTGTTTTTTTCTAACCTAACCTTCAGTTTATTCTTCTCTTATTGACTGTTCCCTTCTATATTATGTGTGGGTGAATACCATCATAAAGTTAAGAGGTTATTTTTAGTAAAACGTACGTATTGTGTAGGGAAAAAGTGGAGTTTGGGGGTCGGCCCGGTCTATTTCAATTAATCCCATATGTTATGTTGTTCACTTTACGCGTTTCTCACTTTACGCGGGCCGCCGTGGGTTCAATTAACCGCGTAAAGTGAGGGTTCACTGTATATGGTGCATTCATAAACATTATTTAAAGATTATAGTTTGTATTTTTCATTAATTTTATTGTTTGGGGGAAAAGAAGGTAAGAAGCCACACAAAAGATAGGAAAAGGTCAGACTTTGGAATGCATCTCATTATTATTGCTTTATTTTAATGGCAATTAATGATTCATGGTACGATGATGATTCACCTTATACAGTACTGCAATATTGAAGGACACATTACCGTCGTTATTCGAGGCTTTACTGTACTGTATACAGACATCCCTGTAATATGAACATTCAGGTTACTGAAATTTGCTTGTAAGAAATTAATAAAGTATATCCAGTAAATTTGGGATACAAAAAAAAATTCGCCCTTGCACTTGTTGACCAGTAACTCTGTCAGTCTTATTTACATCTCTAAGAGTGAAATAATATGGGAACCTTACACACAGTGAATTGATGATTAGATTCATATTGTTTTACCAGTTTATGGGGTTGACATAGTGCTTGTTTTAGTAATTTCTAGAGGATCACCAGTGTTTAACAAGGATTATTTCCATTGTTTCCCTCAAGAGTATTTGTGTGCAGGTAGTCCCCACTTCATACGAGACATGTTCCTGAAAAGTCTTGTGCAGCGCAAATTCATGCCAAATTAATTAAGAAAGCCATTGATAACCGTGTAAATTGTGAGAGATGCTTGATGGAGGAAAAGACAGCAGCTCCAAAACATACACCAAAAAATTCCTAAAAACACCACTGTTTCTCAATTCAATACTAATTCCACTACAGTATTCAGAACACTTGAGTAAATTATAACTCGCCTTGAGTCTAAACAATTGCTTCCTGGATTGCAGTTTTTAAGACACTAGGTGTCTAATGGAGCAATAGAACTCTGAGTGCCATAGATTGTACTTGATCTACGGTACTACTGTATACTGTAGTTGCTGTTGGTCAGTCTAGATTTTCATTGGCAGATTCATTTTCTTCTTTTATTATTAAATCTTTTAAAGATATATACACTATAATAAAGCATATTTAATGGTTATCAAAGAAATTAACACTAAATACATATTTAATGGTCTTACTCTTAGGGCGAGAAGGATATGACATGCCCACCAGTGGCAAAGAGGAAAAATTAAAAAATTCTTAGACCTTATTTTCTCACTTCAACACTAATTACATCATTTCAACACTTTTTCACATTCGGTTTGGCACTACTCGGACTTCAGGATGAAAATACAGTAGGTTCTGCTAATATCGAATTTATTTCTGAATCGATTTTCTTCTATGATATTTCTTGAGCAAATTGATAATGGAGATATAAGCAAAATTTGGTTCGATTAAAATGAGCATCTGTCTGCAAAATCAGCATGTCAACTACTGTATATGATGCAACCCTCAGCAACCATGACATGATGAGGGGGAGCGAAGGAATATGGCATTCAACTACGTTGGGTCAGGTTATGATTTTAAGGTTCGGTAGTGCCTCCAGACCCTCTTTTACCCCATAATTTCCCGTTAATTCAAAGTCCTGCCCACTTTTGTGGACTTCAAAATTGTTGGATGGAGGGGGGTGCATATCTCCATAAATGCTCATTTGCACAAGTAATACCATAGAAAAAATTGATTCAGAATTAAATTCTATACAGGTATGGTATAAGAACCTATTATTCATCCTGAAGTCAAAGTCATGTGCTAAACTGAAAATACCCAAATTATTAATCGACTTGAGTCTGAAGAACTGCTTCCTGGACTGCAGTTGTTCAGACTCAAGGTGACTGATGGAGCAATAGAACTCAATGTCATGAATCGTATGTGTAGATGCTGCTGACCTGTGCTGGCCCAAGCTACCATCTATGGAGGGTAGGGGAAACTGCTATTTCATCAACTAACAGATTGTCTTTGTTTGATATTTATTTATTCAACCTTAGTAAACATATACTGTACTGTACAATTAAACATTAAAATTATTTAATGCTTCTCTAAGAAATGAAATACAGTACAGTATTAAAGACATAGCTTACCATATTTAAATATTATATTATTGGACTAAAGGCCACACAGCCTCAAGGAAAACAAGCCAGAAAATTGTCAGATTTGTGAATTGGTGTACAATAATAACCTACCAGAGAAAGTTCTAGTAATTTCGGCAGTGCACTCTACCTTTTCAATTACTTTCATTTTCATCTCTAATGTAGTGGATTTTCTTTGTCTTTTGCTAATACAAGTATCATCACACCTGTTGCTTTTTGGTCACTTTGCATTCTTGTTGGTGAAGGTTAATAAGGAAAAGTCAAGAAACAGGAGAGCCAGACTACAATATGCATGAGAGGACAGTCTGGGCTGGTGTGTGCAGTATTGGCATTATATTACTGTACTGTACTTGTATATCATAAAATATTAAATCTTCACATAGTAAGATGTTAAGTTTTTTATTTGTAACTTTTTTTTGTCTTTTGACTCAAAAATTTCCATAGAACTTATCCTCCAATATATACAGTAATTGGTATCATGTCAAGGAATTTCACATTATGGACAATTTTTAAAGAACCCATCACTTCTGTAATGTAGGGGATACCTGTACTATAAAGAAAACAAACATAATTTAACCACAGTATTGTTTAAGTCAACAACAGTAACAGTAGTGCAGCCTTAATTTGTAAACATTTGAAAATAATTTTTTATCTTCATTGTTTTCTGTTCTACCTTCTTACAGGAACAGCTGAAGGGACTTTGGTGTCCCCAGTTGGTCCAGATGAGTTACCTCCACCATATACCCCTTCATCATCTGGTGTGCCCATGGTCACTTGTCGAGTATGTCAGGCCATGATTGACATCTCGGGCAAAGTCGATCAACATGTTGTCAAGTGCAACCAGTGCAATGAAGCAACAGTAAGTATGAAATACTTTAAAACTGTTGATAGTGTGGTTTGAGAAAGTATATCTTTGGTGACATGGGACCGGATACTCAGTGATTTACAATGTTGTATCTCCAATCTGACAATAAAAATTGATCCTCACATTTGTAAGTCCTCAATTTAACATTACTCAAAACAAAATATCTGCCACCTTGTGATGTCACACATCTAGAGGTTATAACTTAAAAGACCCTTAGAGCTGTTGTAACAAAATAAACCCCAGATTTCATAAACAGTACTATATACCCGGTATGCCTTCCAAACTATGATAAAACTCATTAAAGCTGTTATATCACAGTTTCATATATTATTTCAATGGAAAATGCTGTAATAGTAAATGATTAAATCTAATCATTTAAAAATTGATCTTAAATCAGCTGTGTTTTGTTTGTTTAGCATGCAAGATGGAGCTGATCGATGTATATGAGGTGTGATCCAAAGGTTCCTGGACTGGCTTCATAAAACCTTTCTCTTAGCAGATATCAAGATCGAATCATCAGCATCGATTTGGTGGGAATCTGTGGCGACAACAGGTCGTAGTGCAGCTTTGTGTGAGTGTGTGTATTGGCTCAATTTGGCTCATCTGCTAAGTCGAGTAAGTCGCTACTCAACCTTCAACATGGTGGGAAGTATCGAGCAATGCTGTACTATCAGATTTTGCTTCAGACTAGGAAAAAATGGTGCAGAAAACCATGAAATGATCAAGGAAGCCTACAAAGATGAAGCAATGTCCAGGGCACAAGTTTTCAGGTGGCACAAGTGCTTCAAAGAAGGGTGCACCTCCTTTAAAAATGAGCATCATTCTGGGAGGCCTTCCACTGAGAGAAATGATGAAAATGTCCAGAGAAATGACCAGCTTATCCATGAAGATTGTAGGGTGACCATCTGTGAAAATGCCGAGCGATTTGATCTCTTATGGAAATGTTAACCGGATTCTGACTGACAACCGGCAATTGGCTGCTACACCAGGACAACACACCTGCGCACACTGTCCTCTCTGTGAATGATTTTTTGGGGAATCACGGCATCCCAGTGGTCCCCCATCCTCCGTACTCTCCAGATCGGGCCCCTGTGACTTCTGGCTGTTTCTGAAGTTCAAGTTGAACCTTAAGGGGAAGAAGTACAGTATATGGACAAAATGGAGGTTTAGGATACATAGCAGGAGGTGCTCTCCAGCCTCACCAACGAGGACTTCCAGATATGCTTCCAGAAGTGGGAGGAGCAGATTCAGCACTGCATTGAGGCCTCTGGATAATATTTTGAGGGTGACTATAGTTTCACTGTAATATCTTGAAAAATATATATTTTATGAAGACAGTCCAGGAACTTTTGGATCACACATTGTATTTTATTGATCAAACTTTACGATACGAAAAGAGGTACTGAAATCCTTTGGACCCTCTTAACATAAGTATTGAACAATTGTTGAGTTAATACATATTTCTTTGATGTGAAATTTTGAAGCTATGCGAGACAACTTTTTAAGGTGGGGGAACAAAGAGGTCATACAGTACGTTGTACTGACTCGCCCAATATTGTTATCAATATTTGTTCTTTAAAATTTTTTTATATTATAAACTGTGCTACTTGCTTTTTGATTAGTGTACTGTACAGTATATGAAGTTTTTTGTTTTAAATTGTATACAGTAATTTTTTATTTTAATATTTAATGGTAATCTTTGTGTGAAATATACAGTAATGTTTTTGTTTAGTTTGTAGAAAATACTTTAACCCTTAGGCCCCAGGTGACATTCCAGAACGTCCGACTAGCACGCCCCGGGTGACGTTAAAGAACGTCCGCCTATTTTCTCGCCATTTTTTTTTTTTATTATTTTTGAGAATGTTGATTTTTTTCTCAATTTAACCCCGCGTGGGGGGTACTGCCAGCAGCACCCTAACCCGGGGCTTAAGGGTTAAAATGTAAATAAAACCCTTGAGCTGCTTTAGTCTTGTACAGATGTCCTAAAATTAGCAAACTTTCTCCTAACTTTACCAACATCTCTTTGTATTAAAGCCACAAAATTCACCCCTCTTAAGACTGAGTCACAAACATTATTTTTTACTTTGGCGATGTTATTTTGTCTAGTTTCCCCAAGAACACAATCTGCTTTTTCACCTCTTCTAGCATAGCTAAAACCTCATCTGAAAAATTTGGGCATCTTTTGAGAGCTGGGCCTTCCATTGTCTGCTTCTTAAACTTTTGTTTTTAAATCTCACACCCCTAAATCAGCTGATTTCCTATCAGGTGATTGGTCAGTATGTTTTGAAAGTGTAACTGTGATTGGCCTGCACGAAGACTTACTCTACAGTGTTTATATTCAAATTACAAGACCCTGACAACATTGCAAAATAGTTTTGAGTATGGGAGATTTACAGTACAATGTTGTGAGCAGTTGATAAGGTAAAATATTGTAAGTCAGTTACAAGGTTGCCATTGTTGTAACTTAGAGGAATTTTGAGTACAGTATCTGCCTCATGGACTATATTCATGTTTTTGTGTGTGTGAATGCATACACCAAAAAAGTCACTACCATTCATCATTTTATCTCATGAAAGGATTTTATGTTAGTTGTACCCAAAACAAGATAGTAATATTCAGAATTTCCTCTAATCTTAAGCTATTCAATTGGCATATTACATCTGGTTTCTTTGGCACTACAGTGTTGAACCTGGTTGCAGATTAAATCATGGAGTTAACAGAATTAGACTACAGTGGTAAGTACAATGTATGCTAGGGATTTAATCCTAGAAAACATAACATTAGGCAAAATGGTGTAAATCGGTATCTATTTTCCCATGGGCTTAATATTATAACTGGAGATGCCTATTTGGGGGAAATATTTTATTCATACTTTGCATTTTTTTTTTAACTAACAAGTTTAAACAAACATAAATAATACTGTATGTTCACAGAAAAGACAGTATGTATTGAATATTTTATTAATTTAAGTTTGAATATACCTGTACAGTATGAACCATACTGTGACATCCTTGCTGTAATATTGTACTGTGCAGTATATGTACATATGTCCCGTTATGTACAGTAGCTAAAAAAAAGTATCGGTGCATACTCTGTGTGAAACGTTATGAGACCACGGACAATAGGTAATGGGATATGCGTGTTGTCTCCTATATGATAGTAATCACTTCACCGTTTATTTTATTCCTATATGCCAACTCACCCTCTGTTTTGGATACTGAATGGCGGTGGATGAAGACATGCATACCAACCCTCCCAGACATCACAAGTTGTACATATAATTTCGGAAGTCATCGGACCCACCTGTTAGATAATTTTTAGCTACTGTACGTAACGTTTACTCGGATATGTCAGACTGCATCCTATTAAACAGGGAAGGGTAGTTTGATTCTTATGATGTTTTCATGGCTATTTTATTTCTTATTTTATAACTGTTAAATTGGAATGTCAAGTTAGATTGTCATATTGTTATCCATTTATAAGAGAAAGCAAAGGCAAACAACAGTTATGTTAAGAAAAATACAAATAATTAATGGCACAGGGCAATAACAAAACAACTGACTGCAGCAGGTGAGCAGAGATGCAGCTACAGTATGAGCTAATACTGGATGTTTTTTCTCCTATTTCTTATTAAATTAATTAAACAAGTTTAGTAAAGCTTAATTTTTCATAGAAATACTCTATGTACTAAATAAATATATTTAATTTAAGGACTTCTGCCTCGTGTTGATACAAGAGAGCAGTAACTGTAGGTCTATCAGTGGTATTGTACTCAACCAGAAATTACCTTTCTAGTACTTTGAGTCATCCTGTAGTCATACTGATAATTTTTTTTTTTCATTTTATCTTATAGGAAGATTTTACAATACTGTACGTACTGTATGTAAATTTTTTTAATAGCCAATCAAGAATGCGCCACCAGGCAAGAAATATGTTCGCTGCCCATGTAACTGCCTGTTGATCTGTAAGAGCTCCTCACAGCGGATAGCTTGCCCAAGACCAAATTGCAAGAGGATCATTAATTTGTCACCTTCTCCAGCCAATCCTTCCTGGCCCAATGTGCCAGGCATGTGTCGTGTCACTTGTGCACACTGCCATGATACCTTCATTGTAAGTATACACACACACACACATAGTCCTTGTGACAGATTGATAGTCTATATATATGCCATAACACTAGTATCCCTTCAACTTTGTGTATCTTTTGAATAATCTTGGTGTTTACTACATAACATTATTCCTCATATTTGTGAATTAAGTTTGATAACACTTGTGCTGGGAGCAGAATAGTTAAAAAAAAAAGAATATTTGGTTAGTAAAATCTGCTGCTTCAGTGGTGAAAGTGGTGAATGAATTGCTAACACTGTTATATAATTTGACAGTTGCTTTGCATTGGGGAAGTTTCTTTTAATGAAAGTAATGATACCAATTTTATTTCTGGTTGTGTACACCTTCTGATAAATTGTAATGTAGAACAGGACAAATATATATTTACTGAAGTATTGAATAGTTTAGAGGTGCATGTCATGCCATAGTTATACCATTAACAGATACTGTACTAGCCGTGATAAATTAACAGTGATGTTTTTGTTGCATTATCTATTATGGTGACGTACTTTACTTTGATTGAAGTTAATGTTTTTTCCCTTAAGCATTTTTATTAGAGAAAATTATTATTTTGATTAAAAATGTTAAGATAGGTATTCATTTAAACTTCAGCAGCAGTAGTCTAACAGTTTTGATTCAGTGTACAGTGCAGAACAAGATGATGCGCACAATATAAGTGTCTCGATAGTCTGGTCTCAAACTACTGAAGTGCTTGATATAACAAACAGTGATGCACAGATGTGCTGAATTTAACAAAGCTATACAGCACTGTACTGTATTAAAGTTGAATGCATGTACATGTAATGAGAAATTTTCTTTTCTTTTTCAGTTCAACACACTTAACAATGCTCTTGCCAGATGTCCACACTGTAGGAAAGTGTAAGTATTGTATACAGCATGTCCTGACAATTCGCAGATTTCTAATTCGTGGACCTCGATTATTTGCGGATGACACCCTAGATGTACCCAAGAATGTCTAAGGGTAGTTTTAAAGTTGCTGGCATTTTTGCGGCTGGGACAGGGAGCCCTTCGTTCTAGAGACAGTAATTTTGTGTGTGTGTGTGTATGTGTTTTTTTTAATAAACGGTTTATTAATAGAGTTGCAGCCGGTGGCTGAAAATATACAGACTTACATTTGATTTAGACATAATGATATAATATGCATTGAATACATTTACAGGGCTGTACAGTACATAAATCAGGAGCTGTTTATTATTTTAACAATAGATGGGATGGTGCTATTCTTATATCTATCGGTGCGGGCTCTTATGGGCTGAATTTTGTTGTAGTGGCGGACTGCGCGAGGTGGGTGGGGGGCTGCCGGTGGCAAGAGGTGGCTATGACGAGGGTGGTGCATTAGTTGGCTGCCAAACCTTTCCAGTGCTTGGTGGTGGAGGTCATTGAGGGATGGTATTTCCAGGGTGGAGAGAGCGTTGGTGTAGCCGGAGTATTCTGCGCCGAGCATGATTCTGCAGGCCCTTTTCTGTACCTTCTCTAGCTGACGTTGTTGGGTGGAGTTAAGAGCAGACGACCAGGCTGGTGACGCATACGTTAGTTTGGGGAGAATAAAGGTGTTGTAGATGGTCCTCAGCTCTGGTGTGGGTGTCCCAAGTGACCTAAGTCGTCGTAGCATGTAGAGACGGTATGAGGCTGCCTTGACTGTGTTATTTACATGGGCCTTCCATTCAAGTTGTTGTCTATAGTTACACCCAGGAGTTTGGCAGACTGCACCAACTGGAGAGGATGGGCACTCACTGTGACTGCTGGGGCTTGCCCTGGAGTGGTGGCGGTATTGATGTGCATGACTACGGTTTTGGTGTGGTTGATGGTGACCTTGTTCTCCGTAGTCCATGCCTGTAGCCTGTCCAGGGTGCCTTGTAGCGATGAGTAGTCTGGTGCAGTGTTGTCTACTGAAACCCCACCAGTGCAGTCATCCATGTACTTCCACCTGTGAGGATTGTCCGATAGAGCGTCGTTGATCAGGATGAGGAAGCACAGTGGTCCCATCTTGGTCCCCTGGGGAACACCGCACGTGAGGTGTTGGAATGTGGAGACCGAGCCCTGATACTTCACTGCCTGGCGACGTCCACTCAAGGAATCGGTGAGCCATGAGATCAGGTTGGTGGGCAGCCCTAGTGCAATAGCCTTGTTGATAACAGTGCAGTGATCAACAAGGTCAAAGACCTTCCTGAAGTCAACAAGGGCAACGTCCAGTGATGTCTTACATTTCTGCAAGTTTTTGTGAAGAAAATCCAGAAAGCTCACCAAGCAGTGTGATGTAGAGGCGGTCCTCATATTGCCAAATTGTTGTGGATCAATTGACTGATAGAGTCTGGCAAATGCCCACTCAAAAACAAAGTCCTCACAAAGTATACTGGGTATGGGGGTAATGGCAACTGGCCTGAGGTCATTAGGGGACTGTGGGGTGGTGACCTTGGGGATGGGGGTGACAAATGCGGTTTTTCATTCATTAGGGCATTTGCTTTGTCTGAGGGATGCATTAATAATAGAACAGAGGGGGGTGGCAAGTTCGACTGCAAACTCCTTGTATATTTTGATTGGGAGGTCAATTGGGGTCGTGAGCGTTTGGATTTAAATTTCAGGAGTTTGTTGGCGATTTCATATGGTTGAACATTGGGAGGGGGAAGGTAAGTAAGCCGGGAGGAGAGTGAGGTCAAGACTGGGTAAGGTATGACATATGGTAGCAAAATGGTTATTAATTATCTCAGCTGCCTCCTCACTAGGTAAATGGAGATGAAAGGAAGTGTGGGAGACTGACGGTTGAGACCACAGAGATCTTTTATCTTGGAGTACCACTGACCGATGCCGACTTCCTTGAGGCCGTGCACTTTCCTGGGATAATAAGTCTTCTTGGCCGACTTGATTTCCCTGATGACCTGGTTACGTAGACTTTTGTACAGGCGGTTGTTGGTGTGTGTGTGTGTGCGCGTGTGCGCATGCGCGTGTGTGCAACACAAACAAATAAATAATAATGGGAGAATCCTCTCACAAATAATCAGAAACAAGACAACAAAATTCTTAAAAATGCGAGTTGACCCTCAAGTCTGCACGAACTTCAGGGTAGACTCACATTTTTAAGATTTTTTTAGTTTTTCTTACTATTGGTGAGAGTATTTTCCTATTATTATTTATTTGTACGTGTTTTGTGTATGTGTGTCTACACACATACACACATATTTACAATACAGGTAAAGGAAATTACTGTCTGGAATGAATGGCTTCCTGTCCCAGCCACATAAACAACTTTAAAACTACCCACAGACATTCTTGGGTATATCCAGAGTGTCATCCGCGAATAATAGAGGACCGCAAAATGAAAATCCGCGAATTTGGGGGGGCCCCCCCCTGTATGTATGTTGTTTTGTCAATAGTAAAGAGAAACAATTGAGACCCTGCAATTGTGTATAAATGAGGCAGAAAGTAAGATCAGCAACCTGGGACTTGGTCAAAATTTTTGTGATGCTATATGGCAGCAGGGTCTACCATTAGACAACACAGTATGCTTCTCAATAGCCATGGCATGTGAATGTAACTCTATCAGGATGAGATATGCTCTGAATTATTTGGTAGGGGTGAAGATGAACATGGCAGTGACAGAGAGGTATGTAGTGATAGTCATATCGAAGGTGGTGATAATGATAGTGACCCAGACTATGTGTTTGAACGAGGAAAGCGATGACGATGATGAGCGGCAAGTGGAAGAGAGAGGGTTCCTGCCCTCCCCATCTCCAGGGAACGGCTAGTACTCCCTCCATTTCACCTACCCCTACCATTTCCAGTCCCACTACATGTTTACATCCACCCACACTCCTTCCTCCCTCCTACACTAGCTCCCTCCCTCCCATACTCCTTCCTTCATCCCACACTGTTCCCTCCCTCTCACACTCTTTCCTCCCTCTCACACTGCTCCCTCCCTCCCACACTGCTGTCTCCCTCCCACACTGCTCCCTCCCTCCCACACTGCTCCCTCCCTCCCTCCCTCCCACACACTTCCTTCCTCCCACTTTCTTACTCCCACACCTTTTCTTCCCTCCTACACTGCCTATTGCCACAGTAATCTAAGTTCAATATAAACGAATAATATTAGTAAAAATGTAAGGAAAATAAACCAAGAGTGACAGAAATTACCTCTCCGACCTGGAGTGTGCAGCGTAGCCGCGTGTGATAAGAAACATCCGTATGTTTATTGCAGAAATCTTTTTTAGGTTCAATTGCTATGCTGCTACATTCATTTTATTATTTTATTTTTTTGAGTGAAAAAAAAAATCATGTATATACATGGCTGCAAGACCGACCAGAAGTGCTGTGACAGGACTGGGAGCCAGTAGGCTTGGCATACTGCACCAGCCCAGGATTCAAATGCCAAGTAGTGCTTTTAAACAAGGCGAGTTGCCACTTCTACTAGTATTTCTTGTTTTCTTAGGTCATTTTGGGGTGTTTGGGCCCTAAAAGAAAATTTTGATTCTTCCCAACCAAGGGGGGTACCATGTGACCTTTTATGGGTTATAGGAGACTACTGACAGGATGGTTATGTGGTAGAATACCCCAATACCACAAAATGTAATTCATGTTGATGAATTGGAGCTGTTGGACTCTTATCATTACTGAACTGTTGAAAATGATGAATGGTAATTAAATAACCCAATTTCTATACTGTAGTTCTGCTGTAAGCATCTCTTGGTAATAGGATATTGATAATAATTAATGGATAGATACAATTCAATTCATGATAATTTGATTCTTTCAGGAACTCAACCTTATCATAAATTGAGGCATTTACTGTATAGGTATACCTGTAAGTACATTTGATAGAAAGTACTTTGCTGCTATTTAGATGTGTATATACTGTTGTGTTGGGTGACTATGCAGTGGGATTAATTCTCATTTGTTTATCCATGACAGGTCATCAGTTGGTCCAGAATTTGCCCGGTGCCGAGGAATAGTTTATGTAGTGCTTACATTGATTATCTTGGGCGTTGGGATTGCCCTAACTATTACAACTGTTAAATACACACCAACTTACCCTGGCATCTATGTAGCTTATATTGGTAAGTACTGCTATATTCCTGTTTTCTTTTACACTATTATCTAATACATACAGTGACCCCTCGGTTAACGAACTCAATCCGTTCCAGAAGGTCGTTCGTTAACCGAAAAGTTCGTTAACCGAAACCATTGTTTCAATGGGTTTTTGGGTAATTGGTTCCAGCTCACCGAAAATTTCCTAAATTCAACAAAAATGGTAGAAAAGTTCACTTACTTTGAGGTGTGTATGTAGAAGGCTCCTGGATGATGATGATGATGATGATGATGATGGGAATTACAATGGGGGTGGAGGAGAAGGAAGAAGAGAAGGCATTGGGGTGGAAGAGAAGTCACCCCATGGCACCATTTCACCCATAAAATTTTAGTTTTCTTGGTGTATTTCAAGATTATTTTCTTTAAATCAACTTTGTACTGCATTATATATTGTCAATATGTAAAATATATTTCAAAATGACCAATAATTTGCTTGGAAACACAGAAAAAAGCGTTTAGTTGAAGAGAGTCTCAAGCAAGATGTTACCTCCAGTGAAAACAGAGAGACTAACGCCTGTTTGCTGTGTTAAGAGGCTGGATGCTGCGCTTTAAACTAGTCACTTTACCTTCAATTATGTTCAATAATTGTTAAAATAACTAAAAAATTGAATATTAAACTTTTAAAATTATTGAATAGTATAAACTTCTTGATATTTACTAAAATAGTTAGGAATTTAAGCCCTAGAACCGATTAATGTATTGGCGGACTGATACTAAAGCTGGTTGCCCGGCCAGTGCAAGCGAAAACATGTTGAGGTCGGTTCGTAAGAAATTCGTTAACCGAATTTTTGTTCGTTAACCGAATTGAAGATCCTTATGGAAGGCAGTTCGTTAACCGAAATTTCGTTAACCGAGGCGTTCGTTAAACGAGGGGTCACTGTATCTGTTTTTCTACCTGGGATGTATTTTTCCCTCATAGCATTTTTCACTGCTTGCACAGACATTTCAGTTTTTTATTTATTCACACTCTAAAGTGTTGAAGAAACAGCAATAGTGCTTGCAGTACAGTGAAACCTCCATAATAGGCTTTGATCTAACGGACATGGCTGTGGCCACCACTTGCTTTTCTTGCCAGTTTGTCTGTTGGTCAGTTGAGCCAAATAGTGCAGAACTCTTGCAATTCTTTAGTGAAGTCATTAAACTTTGTGCCCTCACAATTATTTTAGCTGTTGATAATGACCTTTGATAAAGTGAAATGAAAAGGAAACCTAATGTCTCGACTATTGTGGAAGAATTAAAGGTTATTGACAAAATAGAATCATGACAGAATTTAGAATAGTCAAACAAACAGTGTTGGATATAAAACAAGGCATAGAAAAGCTTAATGGACTTTTTCTGATGTTTGATGTCAATAATAAAGTTAGTGTAATCTAGAAAAATTAGAAGCCATATGATACAAATGGTGTCCAAAAGCATACAAGTGGTGTTGCAGGTTGTGGTGTTCAAATACAATACATGTACAGTAAACCTTCGATAACTCGGCACATATGGGGCTCTGACCTTGTTGAGTTATCCCAAATTCCGACTTATCGAGGCACTTCCCCCTACTACAAAAATACACTAAAAAGTTATCGACCCATACATGTGTACACTCGTTAAAGGAACTGCCGTACAGGTGGGGTCTGGTGATTTCCAACTGAACATTCCCGTTGTCTTGCGAGGGTTGGTAGGCCTGAATGTGAGACATTTCGTACTTAATTTGGTAGGCCGAAATTAGCTATATCATTGACAATATTGAATTACCTTGTTACAATATGACTGGAGAAAGTCAGTACTGTACAGTATATCTAGATAAGTTAAACTGTATGTTATATTAAATGTTCCACACACCATGAATTAAAGTAACCATGGAAGTGGATGAGTTGCCATATAGGAATGCATTATATGTTTGGTTAGAATTAGTGGATATAGTAAAGGTATAGTAAGATTATTTTGCAACTGAATTTTGAGTCTGTATTTGTATTGCTACTTCACTTTGGGCTAATGCCACATTATGTCATTCTTTATTCGTGTTGGAAAATATACCATGCTGTTCTGAAACATCAGAATAGTTCCACAGTTTCGCATGCCGTTGTAATGGAACCCGGCCCAACAACGTTTTACCAAACGGTCAACAATTCCGGAAAGTCTGGTACTGGGTTTCGTTTCAGAGTGCCGATCACTTGTTTTGAGCACATGTGGCCAAACCCATACACGCGCAGGGTTACCAATGCGAGGAATGCTTCTGGGGGCCTTTTTGAAACACTTCGTTTGTAGTGTCAGTTTGTTTCGCGCAGGAATTGTAACGTTAGTTTTTTTTTACTAAGTGCACATGTAATTACTAAATGTAAAAAAGTAACACTTAAAAGCACTGCAGGCGAAGAATGAAGCATCATAGTAGGTGACACAGATGCATGGTAGGTGACACAGAGGCATGATAGGTGATGCAGGTGCCAGATATGCTGAGATTTTCCCAGATAATTTTATACTGTATATCTCGGCATTTCCCGAGTTATACTAATACATTCCGAGACCATATCCATGCCGAGTTGCATGAAATTCCGAGTTATCAAATGCCGAGTTATCAAGGGTGTACAGTACTGTACAGTATTCCCTTAAAGCTCGCGGTTTTGAAGCTTGTGTGTCTCAGAAACTTACGGACTGTCATGAAAAATAAATAAAATAAATCTGAGGCTGTGTGCCAGGGATCAAGAGGAGTCAACACTACAAGACAGTACAAGGTATATTTTGGAAAAATAATTTTTACAGATTTAATAGCCTACTGTACTGGCAAAGCCAAATCACTGGCTATATGCTGTTATGTTTCTCACTACCGCAGCTCACTATCACTTTATGGACCTATTATCAAACATTTGTTGGTATTAATAATAAAATTTACCTAATTTCATACAAAAGGTTATAATTACATGTATACATATAGGTACCTACGGTATACACATTACAAATTCTTATAAGGTACCGGGCATGTTCACTAGGAACTGTCCAATACAGGGGTTGTTTATATCCTGTGCACCATATCAGCTGACATTTCAGAGGTAGTGTCTTTACATCGTCACTACCACAGCTAACTAGCACTGTGTGAACTTTATGTTCATACAGTGTTATTTCATGTTTGTTTATTTATTTATGTTATTTCATATTTATTATGTTGTCTTCTGCATACATAATGTTATACATGTGCATATAGCTATATATATTCGTATATATATACCTGTACTGCATGTATTTTGCACACTCCTGGAACTGGCATGAAAAACTCGCTGGTTTTGCTTTTTCATGGGGTCCATTTTACCGAACCCCAGCGAGCTTTGAGGGAATACTGTACTTACAGGGGGTCCCTGGGTTATGAATGGGTTCCATTTCTGGGGACGTTCTTAAGTCAGATTTGTACGTAAGTTGGAACACATGCTATGTGCACACAGTCAGTTCTGCTATAACGCGATAGTTGTGTTCTTGTAAAACATCGTGTTATAGAAATTCGCGTAATAGAAATAACAGGGCTTTTGGAGAAAATAGGGTTAGGTGCAGATTACTACTCGAAATCGAAAACAATTTAGTAGTTAGCCTAACACAAAGGATAGCACAGTCTAAATAAATGTTACATTCATATCTAATAATAAAATCATACAGTAAATGTAACACTTTACCTTGAAAAAATATGAATATAACTTGATGGGGGAGAAGGGTGATTTTGAGGTAGATAACATCGAGATTATCTTCAAGGTTTATAGCCTTTCTTTTACGATCATCACCATGAATGCGATCACCAGAACGCTTCTTGGAGATATTCTTCTTTACCATATTCACAGTTAATGCCACAAAATTGGAGAAATAGTAAGCAAAAATCTCGTTACAGCAAACGAGCGTTCGCGTTATACAAATATCGTTCCTCTATTCATAAATCGCGTTAGAGCCAATTCGCGTTGTCAAAACACGCGTTATAGCAGAACTCACTGTACCATACTTACAGAACAATGTTTAAAATCCCACTATATCATAGCCTAAGTCCTTATATACATTTAAAATCACTTAGTTTAAGACAAAAGAAGAAATAGAATGACAAAATACAATAAATGATAGTAAAAAATAACTCGTCAGGTAAATAAATTACTGTAAATTTAAAGTTTAACCCTGTTCGTATCGGCGGGCATTCATAAGTTGGACATTTGTAAGTTGGGGACCCCCTGTACAGAATGCTGTAATGCAGACAGTTTATCTGATAAAAGTGTCATAATGCCTGAACCACTTTGATAATAATGGAAAGTTAATCTGAAGGACTAACTTCGTATTTTTTCATGTACAGTATATTGCTCACAGGGAATGAGTTAGTCAGCCCCCGAGGCAAGGGCCATCTGTTTCACATTTAACACCTCAGCAAAGTTCGTTGTAAACACTCCCTCTGTCTCTCTCCTGTCTCCCTTTCTCTCTCTCACTATGCTCGGTATGTGCTTTTATTCTTGAATGGGTCTACTGAACTACTTCCCCCCTCCTCTCTCCCCCATATAGTTTTTTAGATTGAAGTTTCACTATCTGCAAAAATATTCAGCATGTGGATTTAATAATAATAACTGGAATTGCATGTGCTAAAATACCAGTACAACTGTACAGTACAGTCTCTCCTCGGCTTACAACGGGGTTCCATCCCGATGACCAGGTCGTAAGTCGAATTGGTTGTAAGTCAAAAAGGCGAAAATAATACATAAAAATTCTAAAATGAAATACAGTACAGTACAGTAAAAGTAATAAATAATGAAAAATTAATAAAGTGTTACTGTGCACTTACCTTTAATGTAGTCAGCTGAATGCACACGGGACCTCAATAATTTTGTAATTAAGCATGGAGACTACATTGATTGGATGAAGCAGAGGAGGAGACAGGGCTGGGTGGTTCATCAAGTTAGCTTTCTTCAGACATGCTAACATTCTTGCTTGTTGAAGGTATTGGATCATCTTTCGGGAGTGAAGAGGC